CCTTGTGTCCCTGTGGGGTGGCACCCCTTGTGTGACCCCCCTTGTGTCCCTGTGGGGTGGCACCCCTTGTGTGACCCCTCTCCATGTCCCTGTGGGGTGGCACCCCTTGTGTGACCTCCCTACGTGTCCCTACAGGATAGAACCCCTTGTGTGACACTCCTCTGTGTTCTTATGGGGTGGCACCCCTTGTGCGACCCCCCTTGTGTCCCTACAGGGTGGCACCCCATGTGTGACCCTCCTGTGTGTCCCTATGGGGTGGCACATGTGTGTCCCACTAATTGTGTAGGGGGACCCCTAGAGGGTCTGGGCACCCCCAGAGGAATGGAGAGCACCCTATAGGGTCCAGACACCCCCTACAAAAGCAAAGAGCACCCGCTTAGGCACCCCCCAATGGGGCTTTGGGAGCCCTGTGGGATCTGCCCACCCCCAGTGGGGTGGGAGGGACCCTATATGGGGGTTGGGTCCACTCAGCAGGGTGAAGGCACCCCATGAAGTCTACAGACCCCACAGCAGGGGTGGGGAGCACCCCATGGGCTCTGAGCACCCCACACTGCTCTGATGGGCACCCTATGGGCTCCCCACAAGCTGAGACCCATCCTCTGGGGTCTGGGCACTCTGTGGGGTTCAGGAACCTTCACTGGGGTGACGGGCACCCTCTGGGATCTGAGCACCCCATCCATAGCAATGAGCACCCTACAGGGTCAGGACCCATTACAGGGTCCCAGGCACCCCACAGCAGGACCATGGGCACCCTACGAGTCCCGGCCACCCCACAGTGAGACAATGGGCACCCCATGAGTCCTGAGCACCCCACAGCAGAATGATGAGCACCTGGTGGGTCCCAGCCACCCCACAGTGGGATGATGGGGACTCCACAGGTCCTGGGCACCCCACAGTGGGATGACAGATACCCTACAGTGACATGATGGGCACCCCCTGGGTCCTGGCCACCTTGCTGCAGGACCGTGGGCACCCTATGGGTCCTGGGCACCCCACAGTGGGACAACAGGCACTCCATGGGTCCTGGGCACCCACAGCAGGATGATGGGCACCCCACAAATCCTGGGCAGCCACAGCAGGATGATGGGGACCCTATGGGTCCTGGGCACCCCACAATGAGGCAATGGGCACCTAATGGGTCTGGACACTCTACAATGGGATGATGGGCACCTGATGGATCCCAGCCATCCCACTATGAGATGATGGGCCTCGCATGAGTCCTGGGCACTGCACAACAGGATGATGGGCACCCCACAACTCCTGGGCACCTATAGCAGGATGACAGGCACCCTAGGGGTCCCAGCCACCCTGCCGAAGGACCATGGGGACCCTATGGGTTCTGGGCACCCCACAGTGGGCCGGTGGGCCCCCCATGGGTCTTGACCATGCGACAGCAGGATGCCAGTCCCCCTGTGGGTCCTGGCTGCCCCTCACCACAATGCCCTCCACGTCCCACCCACCCCCCAGTGCCGCAGGGTCCCACCCACCCCCCAGTGCCGCAGGGTGCCCCTTACCATCTGTGCCCGCAGGTACATCTGTGCCTGGCTGGCAGTGAGGGCGGGCGAGGCGGCATTGCCCAGCAGCACCGCCTGCTGCGCGATGCCCGAGGCGCCGGGGCCCACGCTCTGCGCCCGGTTCAGCAGCTGTGCCGCCGCCGGCGACGTCGCCAGGTTGATCTGGAATGGGGCGTCAGGACAAGGTCAGGGTGCTGGCACAGGCGGGTGCCGCCGTGCCAGGTGCCCAGGGGCTGGGGGACTGACCGTGGGCTGCTGTGCCGGGGCGGGCTGGGCGCCGTTGCCCGCCGAGGAGCCGCTCTGCCGGTTCGCCGCCAAGCTCGCCTTGGGGAGAAGCGGGACAGTGAGGGGGTGTGCCAACCCCGAGCACCCAGGGGTGCCCCGGGGCGGCCCTACCTGCTGGACGGCGGCCAGGCTCTGGAGCTGGGCGCTGGTGAGGTGCTGCTGCTGCAGGGCAGCCGTCTGCAGCATGAGGTGCTGCTGCTGCGCCGCGTACATCTGCTGCAGGTACTGCGCCGCCGTGTTGGGCTGCCGGTGCAGCGCCTGCTGGATCACCTGTGGCGGGGGGCAAACGTGGCCCTGGGCAGCGCCACGACCCACCCGGAACCCTCCCGGCCCCCCGCGGGCCCCCCCCGGCCGTACCTGCACGGTCTGGCGGTCGGGGATGCCGCTGTACACGGAGATCTGGGGCCCGGGCGGGCGCGTGGCCGCGGTGCTGGCGGCGGCCGGGGCGCTGCCCCCGGAGCTGCTGGCGGGGGCCGGCGCCGGGAGCTGCTCGTTCTCCATGGCGGGAGTGGGGCGGGGGAAGCGCGGGTCAGGCTAGAGCTGGGGGGGAAAGGGGGAGAGGGGCACCCTGCAGCACCCTGGGGCTGGGCTACCGGGGTGAGAGGGGCACCCCGCAAAAGCCCGTGGCCAGGTGAGGGCCAGGGGGGCCAGCACTGAGAAGGAGGAGGAGGGTGGGATGGAGGAAGAACAGCAGGAGGCCCCCCATGGTTCATCCTCCTGGGAGAACACCCTGGAAGAGAGGGAATGGGAGGAGGCACAGAAGGAGGGATGGACAGGACAGAGGGAAGAGAGATGGAGCTGAGGAGGTAGAGACGGACAGAAGGACGGTCTGGAGGAGGAGTGGGATGAAGGGATGGACAGACAAAAGGAGGGAAGGAGAGAGAGAAATGAGGGAAGGAGGGAAGTAGGAAAGGGTCAAAGAACAGATGGACAGAAGGAAGTAGGGAAGAGATGGAAAGAAAGAGACCAAGGGAGAGATGGAAGTAGGAGAGGACAGACAGAAGGGCAGCTGAAAGTAGGAAAGCGATGAAGGGAAGGATGGAAGGAGAGACAGAATGACAGACCAGGGGAGGAGAGGGATGGACAGAAGATGGATGGAGGGATGGACAGAAAGGGGAAAGGGATGGGAGGGGGGAGGAAGGATTGATGAAGTAAGGAAGGAAGAAAGGGAAGGGCAGAAGAAAGGATGGAAGGAATGATGGATGGATCAATGGATCTAAGGATGGAAGGAAGGAACGATGGATGCACGGACAGAAAGACAGACAGAATGAGGAAAGGAACCAAGGACAGGAGGGAAGGCTGGACAGAAGGAGGGAAGGAAGGGAGGGACCAAGGGATGGAGGGAAGGACAGACAGACAGGAGGAAGTATGGCCAGATGGAAAGACACAAAGGAGGGAGAGAGGGATGGAAGAAAGGCCAGGGAAGGATGCAGGGACACAAGGAAGGACAGACAGAGAGGAAGGGAAGATGGGAGGAAGGGCAGAAAGGGAGGAAGAAGAGGGATGAATGGATGGCAGGAAGGGGATAGACAGTGGGACAGAAGGACAGGAGGACAGGGACAAAGGGACAGCGCTGGGGGAGCGCGGGGGGGTTTGTGGGCAGCACCCCCATTGTGCCACCACAAGGCTCCGTGGTCACCAACAGCCACACACGGCCACTGTGCCCCCACCAACGTCACCCGTCCCTGCCAAGCCCCTGCAGTGCCACTGTCACACGTGTCACCACAGCAGGACCAGGGACAGTGGGGTGGGGCACTGCAGACCATGGGGGGTGGCCTTGGTGGCCACAGGGGGTGGCCAGGCCACCCTAGCCACCCCCAGCCCCAGCGTGGCACCCAAGGGATGTGGCAGTGGTGACGTCCCGGCCTCGGTGGCCTATGGGGCCGTGTCCCCTGGGGGTGCCACTCCCAAAGCACAGGTGGGACATCCATTGGTGTCCCCAGCCCTGTGTGTGGCCCGTGACACTTCCCACCCTCTCCTCTGTGTCCTGGCACGTGCCCACCACGAGCTGGAGAGATTTTGGGCAGCCCCTTCCCTGCTGGGCAGCCACGGACCCCTTTTGTCCCCGCTGGTGGCACTGGGGTGACACGGGGTCACCACACTGCCTAACACAGAGGGACCATGCCAGGCCCATCCAGAGCCAATCCCCCCGGGATGGGCACAGCCCAGGAAGCCCCTGGCAGCTCCCACCCTCTGTGGTTGGAACCCCCCACCCTCACCCACACCAACCCCCCTGGGAATTTGGGGTGTCAGAGGGGGCAGCTCACTTTTGACCCACGGGTGACAGAGGAAACCTGCTCCACTCCCCCAGAAAACCCCAAAACATGAAACCCATCCAAAACAACAAACAGGGAAGATCCCGAAATCTTCAGGAACCAGCGGGACACAGCAGGATGGGGGGACATGGGGGGGTCCCCCAGCTGGAGCAGGGAAGAACCACAGAGCTGGAATTCCTGATCTGAGCCCAAAATGGGGGGTGGGGAAATCACGGGGGGGTGTGGAATGGGGGTACACCCAGGATAGAGGGGGGAATACGGGATGGGGGGAGGAATATGGGATAGAGAGGGGGAATAATATGGGGGTGCAAGATGTAGGTGAGGGCTGGGATCTGGTGGGGGAGTGGGAGAGAAGGGGGGTCAGAGATAATATGGGGGGGTCAGAGATAAGAGCAGGCACTGGAATGTGATGGTGGGGGGTGGGAAATAATGGTAAGGGGGTGTGAAACCAGAGGAGGGGGAGCAAGATGGTGGGGAGGGGAGGAAAACACTAGTGGGGGATGGGAAAGAAGGGAGTGGGGTCAGACACAATAGTGGGGGTCAGAGATCATATGGTGGCACTGGAATATGATGGGGGGGCAATAATAAAATAATAATAATAATAATAATGATAATAATAATAATAATAATAATAATCAGGGGGTGCAGAAGCAGAGGAG